GAACAGAGTCCATCTTTTTGTATATTTTGATAAGTCTCCTAGGGCCTTTCTTAGAGATACCGCGCTAATTTTTTCGTAGGGCTGTAGCGTAGTGAGAGTACTTCTAGTTTCTACATATCAGCTCCCAAAGAGATCCATTTCTTGAGAGATAGCTTTTTCTGAAAACCCCCATTTTTGAGAGAACTGTTTTGATCAAACACAATAATGCAGACAGCTGAAATTTTTAGGAGCGGTACATCTTTCAGTGCTCTTTCCATAGTAAAAATTTCAAATCCATATCTAATTCCAAATAAAAGGTTTGAATTACACAAGTTGCCAAAATGTTTCTTTTTTCATATACTGAGTAATTCATAAAATCCCGACAATTCAATATTGTTAAACGAAAAGTTTTTGGTAAAAAGGAGTCATCGAGATATATGCCTCTGAAGCATTTCAGCTCAATTAGTTGAGTTGTTCTTGAGATAGGACTCCAATAGGACCCGCTTTCTAGATATCGTGAATGTTAGGACTTTTCGTATAATGCTCATAAAAAAATCAAGTGATTAATATTTTTTAAAACGGTTTGTGTCAAAATTCTTAGAACTCTTCCCTTTCCAACATATATTTAATTGATCGCAATATGACGACCTCGATTGAACCGCTTCTGTGCGAATCCGTCGTGGCTTATATGAACTGGCTCATAAATAGAAAAATGATGATTTCTATTGATTTCATGTGATTTCTCGGGATTTCAACTTGATTTCAGAGATTGAAATCAGTTTGTTCCCCCTTGGTTTCAATACTTACATTAGACTTAATTTTCAATCTATCCATATGAATGTAAAACATCTTGTTGAAAGAAAAGAAAAATTATCTAGACAAATTTAAGTTTCATCGATTTGCTGGTTGAGTTTTCATCAGTCGATTATAAATTAGTGCTAATTTAATTTTTTGTTCGAAGCATTTTTTAGAAGAATAAAAAACACTAAATGTATTAAAGATATCGATCGACTTAAAATATAATAACCCAAATCAACATATAATTTTAATGGTGATAAATGAATAATATGCAACAAGAAAGCAATTTTCTTGTATAATTTTTGTAGAAAAATCTCAATACAAAGAAAGTTTGACTCTTACTCGTTTTAATCGTATTGATAATAGAACAACAAATATTGCAAACTCCCAAGTTGATGATGATTTTCAATAGAAAAGTTATGGATGACATTAATAAAAAATGGCCGATTCTGAAAGTAAAATTTAGAATATAGATGTACCAGTATACATGGAGAATTCGAATTCAACTTACTTTAATGATGAAAATTAAAAGTTTTCTAAATAGTATGTATTAAGATAATATTCACCTTATCATTAAGTTATTTAAGGAAATTGACATAAGCTAATGAATAGTTGTGTTTAATAAGTTCAACAATAAGACTTAACTAGTTATTAATTCATATCTAATTAATTTTACTAAAAGTTGAAAATAGAAATTTGAATGAAATCATCAAATTTATGCATTTCCATACTCAACACAATCCCAAAATGAACAATACTAATCAACTTCAGTTACTATCGCATTTTGGTACCGTAAGACATACTCTTGCTCAATCGTATAATACGAAACTTATATTCAATCGAGAAATAAATGACCTCAATCATCTCTAAATCAGTTAAAAAGCAATTTAGTTCTAGCGAGTTCTCTTGAACTCGAGTGGCTATTTGAACTATTCTGTGATTTTAAACGATTTCTATTTATTTGTGACGGCTTTTCATGTTTTTGAAACCAATATTAACTCACACTAACTTACAAATCGCTCTTTTTGCTTACTTATATTTGAAAAATTCTTTCCTTTTGATTCTATATTGTTGGGAAAAAATAGTTGTTCATACAACATGGTTTTATGAAAGTGAATACCTGTTTATACTCTACCAACTTTCATGATTTCGACTTGAATTAACTCATAATAGAATAACATTTTTACGAACATATATGAATAAATTAGTAGATAGATAAGAATAGGTAAATTGTTGTTCTCTATTTTATATCGAATCCTTTTGATCATTGTTTTCTATTCAATTTATTTTCAAACAATTTCCATTCGATTTCGAGCGAAGATAGCAGCTACTAATAGTGAATTTAATGCTAGATAGACTTCTTGGAGTATCTTTTTTTATTGTGCTACACAAAGTATGAATGTTTCACTTACTTTACCATCAGAGTAAAACTCAAGTTCGATTGACTGTTTTGCTGGCCGAAAATGAAATAAAATTTAATCAGCATCATGCATCTAATATACAACTCGTTATCTAAATATCTTCACCAATTGTGTATATTGTGTTTAATGAAGTAGTCATTGTTGTGCCCTTTTCTTTGCAATGCTCTTCAATTTTTATTGTTTTATGTGCACGAAGATTTTTTATAGACTCTATTTGTAACTCTAGAAAAGCACAGAATTTTTCCTAAAAAGAAATTTTTGAAGAGGTTGTCTTCTACAATTGATCATAGGTTTCTCGTAGGATTTCTTAATATCACCGATTTTGTTTTTATAAAAATACCGCTCTTCTTTAATTTCAATGTGATATGAAAATATAAATTTCACTGTATAAATGAGACTAGCTCATATAATATGACAGTGTGCTCGTGTTAGTATTCAAACATTTACTAAGAAGAAAAGCTTGATATGATGTTTATTTAACTCCTAGGCTTCTTGTCCTTGCCTTACTCGTATTATGAGTGCTTTACGTCATACAAAAAGAAAAGAAATTTTCGAGTGAAACTATGGTTCTCGTTTTCATTTTTGTCTCGCAGACGTGAATGAAAATAATTTCACAAAATAGGATTTAATCATCTAACAATCGTCATAGGCAGTAATTTTTTTCTTTTTTAAATTAACCTTTTGTTCTCGTTCTCTTTTCATTTTTGTATTATTTGTTCTTTATTTTATGAATAGAATATGCACATGATAAATGGTCACTCTTACACATTCAACACTTGAGTTGTGCTGTGTAATCTTATTCATATTTATATATTTATATTAACAAGGACAAACACATCCATGATCAAAATGTCACTTTTTATTTTACTTTTTCATTTGTTATTTATTTGCAATCATATTACAAATGCACATTGTCCAGATGATCAAGATCTTCAAGACCATCACTGTGTATGTAGTCCAGCAAACCATTTTGTTTTATGTTCATCATTACCTAATCAATGTCGAACATGTTCTCGTTATAAAGGCATATTGTTCGATGAGAAAGTTAATATATTACCAGTTGATGCTTTTCGTTTTTATGACTTTTTCGGTAGTGATGATAAGAACCTTTTATTTAAAATCCAATTTGCTCACATAAATACTCTTTCATCGAACTCATTTTCAAAAATCAATATTACTCGATATAGAACATTAGAAATTAAAATAGTAAAATATTCATATTCTGCATTACCTACAAGACTCTTTGAAGATGTAGAAATTCAATCAAAATCAAAATTAAATATTGAAGTGTTCAATGTAACATCCCCTATTTTAATGATAAAACAAAACGCATTCGATGGGATAAAATTTCAGCGTGAAAGCCGATTTCAATTGTCAATATATCATGCAAAAGATACGATACTATTTGAATCTAATGCAGGTAAAGTTGCAAAACTTGTCATTTCAGTTATTGCTTTTTGTATGATTTCACTCTATTAATAGGATCACTTCTGTTACCGTCTTATTCTTCTATGGAATTATATTTTTTTAATTTTCTTCAAGTTTTTTTAAATCCACATAGTTTTGCTCATGTAAGACAAGAACATTCAAGCGAACTGATCATCAAATTCGATCGTTTTCAATATGCATCACTTGCACAAAATTCATTTGTTAATTTTCATCAACTTCGTGAATCTCGTTTTCATTTATCATTGCTGAACTTTCATGGTTTAACAATCGAACAGAATCTATTCGAACGAGTAACACAATGTAAGTGATATTTTACAATTTCTTTTTATCTCTCTAAAAAGAAATCATTTTTTCCTTCGAAGTAAAATCATATATAATAATATCAATTTATAATTTGACCAATGATTTATGTTTACCAAATAAAACATTTGACCAAATAAAACAAGATTTCAATTCAACATTTCAGTTTGAAATTAATTATGGACAAAATCTTCTTTTTGCATCAAATTCCATAACGAATGTAAATCAAAATTTACAATCGAAATTTACTATTGCGATAGCAAATTCACTTGATATTTATTTTTCTCGCTGTGCATTTAATAATATTCATCAGGAAGACCATTCATTAATTGATATTTCGGTTAAATATGGACAAAATTTAATATTTGACGACTATGCAATTAACAATATGAATATTAATCATTCAAGTATGTTAAAAATTGGTTATCAACATTCAATAGGCACTCTACAAATGACTATGAATTCATTTTCTAATATCAATGAAGGTATGTACATTTTTTACATAGTTTTTCTATAATTATTTTAGAAAATGTTTTACTACAAAAGAAATATTAAATTACAATTAGTTGAAGACAATAAGTGTTACACATTATCGTGCAACCGGAAATTTATTGACTAGCACGTAAATCAATACATTCCAAAAACAGTTCATATTTTAACTATTGAAAATATCAATTTTCAACGGGTGTGCGTACAAGTAAACTCAAAAACTAATCTTTAGCCTGCTCTTTCTTTTATAAAACCTGGTGAAAAGGTTTTTCGACGCCGAGAAAAATAATTGTGTATCAGATTTGCTTCTTTCTAAAAGACTTTTAAAATAATTTTGTGAGCACTAACACTAAACCTTGGTGGTGAACTTAAATAATATTGATTGTAATAAACATTAACTCCACAAGCATTATTATTTCGATTTTCATGCTAAATAAAAAAATCCAGCGAAGATCCTCAAATTCATCGATGATTTGTCAAAAGTTTTTCAGTTCTACTACAAGTTTTTACCAATCGCTTATGAATTACTGCTACCGGCAATCATAAGATCTAAAATTTAGTTCTTGATCCAAATTCATTCATTAGAAAAATACAATTTTTTATTATTCACTGAATTAAGTCGAAACTAAGAATAAAAAAAGATTTTTTTCCATTATAGTTAAATAGACAAATACCTAACATAAATGAATTCTTCTTCATTTTCAAATCATCTTTTTTATTTATTTATAAATAGGTCAAGGTGGTGAATTAGTTTTTCAAATAATGAATTCATCCGATTTCTATTTTCGTTTTAATCAATCAACTTCATTACAACGTTTAGTAATACTTGATCCGCCATTGTCTTCCAATGATTTTTGTCGTATAGCAAATATACCAGCACATATATCAGTTAAACTCTTACATACTTATCAATGTTCATGTACTGTTTATTATTTGTATCGAAATCTTTATCGTAAAATTCATCCGACTGATCTTAGAAATTTAGTGCCAATATGCTATATCAATATGTCTCTTGATGATATTGAAAATGAATGTTCATTTAGTAAACAAATTTATGACTGCCAACAAAGTGCAACCGAAATACAAATTAATATTCCACGAGGAATATGTGAAAATAATTCGAGATCAAACAAAAATCAATTTAAAAAACGTTGGACATTTTTATCTGTAGTTTCAATTCTAATTATATTCAGTTCTATGATATTGACTGCAACATGTATTTACATACTATTCTCAAAGAATAGAAGAGAACCATTGTTAAATTTTATTTCTATGTGTTATTATCGTTATCGCCGTCAAAAACTACCAATATTTTCAGCAGATCCATACGAAGAATTACCAACAAATGATCAAGAAGAATCAAATGATAGTAGAAGAAGTATTATTGTGACATATAACACAACAACAGAACAAACCGAACTTTGTTTGGATTCAGATAAAATAGAGTTTATTGTATCCGAAACGGACCATCACCGGCAAACTACACTAGATGCGAAAATCAAATTAAACACAAATCCAATGAATGAAACTGAAGATTATAATACTTTAAAAATGATTTCATTCAGTTAATATATTTCAATTGTATTAAATAGACTAATTAATTTGAATAAAACAAAATAGTGGTTTCGATTTTTGAGGACTTCTGAAATGTTTTACTTTTTTTCTAAAATGAACTTTAATATTGATGGGATTTCTCGAAATTTCTTAATAAGTAGCTCAATAGTAACACAGTTAAACTATTGGGTTTTATTATTATCTACTTGTACTTGATAGAATACGTCGTTTATCTCGAATAGATGAATATAGAATTACCCATCTTATCAATTGATGTTGTAAAACATACATTGAGTTCTAAATATTATCGGACGGTGTTTGCACGAAAAGATTTGTCTTCAGTGACTCACAAAACAAAGAAAAAGAAAATTTTTCACTCAAAACCTCGAATCACAAAGGCATGATAATATCTTTCAAAAGCTTAATTTTTTGAATGTACTTGATATACGGTATATGCCTATCAGAAGTTCCTGTAGATGTATCTAATAGAAAAAGTTAAGTAGAAATCATAAGAGTAAAAGTTTTTTATGCTCTTCATACATTTTGAAACTGAAATTCTCACAATGCAGAAGAGATAGAATGCGATAAATACATTTCAAATTAATCATTATAGTCTAACATCAATAAATATTGAATCAGCATGAAACCTATGATCTTAATTGGTGAATTTGTTTACAGACATCAAACTTTACCATCATAAGCACTCACGCTGACATCGAACTTTAACCAATTCCATTATTTGCATTCAAAACTGTAAAATTGGATTAAATTGAGATGGTAAATGATTTTTTTTATGACTTAATTATATTTCTACAGATCACTATTCTCATTCAGCAAACTCGATATTATCTACTGATCGATTGAATGTTATATTCATTGATTTAATTAAAAGAAAAAAAATCTTCCTCTCTAATATATATGTAAAATAACATTGATTGATACATTGTATTAATTGTATTTTATCATTATATCATTTTTTATCTGAAGCTTTTTCAATACATAAAACTCGTTCGTTTTATTTTCAAAAATGATGACACGATGAAGAGTTCATTAACGAACATGAATGTTTTCTTTTTCTCTTGACTATTTGAATCGTCGGTTATGGTTGACTGATTTTATCTTTTCTATCCAACATAAGTAAAGAAAACATGAAATTCATCTAAATATTGTTCAGAAAACTATGCTAGTTAAATGGAAAATATTTCCAATAAAAAAATCTTCATTAGTTCATTACGAAAACATGCTACTCATTCATTTATCTAATGTTGATCACAAGTAAAAACATTAATCAAATTATAGAAATAACGGACGCATAACTGATGATCATATCCGACGATCATATACGGGCGAGATATATCTATGTCTGACGTTCTTTGTTCGTACAATAGCTATATGTGGCTATATAGTGACACATAAGAAGAAGATTCATCGTCGAAAAAAAATAGTCCACTATCTACCTATTGCTTCATTTCAGTCTCATCTTTTCTCACACAAGCACAGCGAATCGTCGAAAAATGCTTCTCGCCAGTAAAAATGACTATTTTCTGACACCGAAGTGTGAGAATAACTGCTCTAATAATTTAGAAATTAGCTATGAAAGTTTTCTCCTAATTATATCATATTATTCGTCATGAAATAGACTTGCGGTACTTAGAACTATCATATTTTTATATTTGATTTCATAGACGTAAATACTTGAATATTGGTTTTTAATCCCTATTGACTTTTTCAATAACAAATTTTTTCCTTACTTAGTCTTAGTAATACTCTATATTGACTACTCTAACAATCATAGTTCAAAACTGATGAAAAAATTAGAACATCAATGACAGTTATTCACAATAGAAATTTTAAGAAGAAAAAGACGATGCCGCATCCATGAGATCATAGAGTGTACCGAATTCGTTATCAACTCGGATATGTCTTAATTTGACGCTTTATTTCAAAATTTCATATATTTTTGTTTCATTTTAGATTGTAATTGTTATCCAATTTAGTAATAATACTTTTTTGTTTTGCCCGTTTATGCATGGTCAGTGTAGGAAAGGTAAAGTAAATCTTTAGAAAGTGAATGATAATCATATGTTTTATATATTCAGATAGAAATGCTTCCAACACTTGGTCATTGTGAAGATTCGGCCTGTTCGGTATCATCATCTCATAAATTAGTACGATTATTTCGTTGTTCAATTCATTGTGATCGTAACTTGTGCTTACACCATTTAAATGCACATAATGTGTATTACGAAGAAGAAAAAAAACAAAATGATATGGTTGTGTATGAATTACAAAAATGTTTAAATTTATACCAATCAATATTTGATCAACAAATACTTTCTTATCGTGAACTTGTTCGTCAAGCAACAACAGTGTTGTTAAATAATACATCATCACTTGTTCCAATAGATCAAATTCGACCTGTTATAGAAAGAATTCAACAAGCCATTGCAATTTTTCAAGGAGAAAAAAGTTAAATAATTTGAAGAAACTGTTTTCAACGTAATTCTTCTATTATGTTTTTATATTTTAGTTATTATAAAATGTGAATCAATAACCGATATAAGTGATGGTGAAAATGAAAAAACTAAAGGTGGAAGTAGTAATGCTTCGGATCAAAAAGTTATTTTACGTTTTCCACGAGTTGAATGTGTTAAAAAGTAAGAAAATAACTTGAAAAGGATTCATTAGATTATTGTTTTTGTATAATTTAGTAATGTTCTATCTGAAAATAAGCATAAATCTGCGTAAGTGGTGACAAATTTGAAACAGCTTTCTTGATATTTTGTACTGTTTTATAGCAATAATGGGAGTGTAAATAACTTGAAAGATAAAGAACCAGAAAAACAAGTCCGATCTCCTTGTGCAGAAAGAACAAGAGGGAAAGGAGTGAAAAGAAAGGTTAGTTGCAGAAATTTTGTGTCTTATATAATGAATTTTGAATTTATAGGCTTCACCATTGAAACGCATACAAAAATAAAACTGAATACAAACTTGTGATGGTATTTATTTTCTTGAAAGATTTCTACATCATCTTGTACAGACCCATTGAAAAATATGCACTGTGTATTTCCTTTTTTTGTTGATCTTCAAATAAATTTAATTGAATGATAATTGAAAATAAACTGAAATGAGAAAAAGAATATTTTCTTATGATGTAAATTGTTGTATGTTTATTGTAGCATGTCGAGAAAATGATATTGTTCAACATTTTGCCCAGTTATTTTAGTATCGATTTCTAACTGCGCGAATTTGTTGAAGAATTAGAGCGAACACTGAATGCGCAGATTGTTTAAAATTCAGTGCTATTTCAAAAAGTGTACCTTGTAGTCGTTGGCAATATTATATTGACTTGTTTACCATGAAGTGCTCGAGCTAGTGCAAGCCTAAAAAATATCAGCCGTTTTATTTGATAATTGGCTTCTACAAATTTCAGTTGGTTTTTCTGCAAGATTATCTCTGTTTCCTTCTAATTGATAGTTTAGATAAGATATTGGTACATTTTATTCTTCTAACGTTAATTTTACTACGATGAATAAAATAGGTTCATACGACGGTGGAATATCTCATAGGAATGAGCTAGTTAGGTTTCTAAGTTTTCACCACTTTTTCTTGCAATAAAATCAGCTTCTGTTAACACAAGTTTCATGTTAGATAGCAAAGACAGCATTGCTTTATAGTTACAAAAAAAGATTTAACGTCAGCAGAAAATCACAATCGAACGACGAAAAAAATGTATATCCAAATAAAAATGTAATTTGAATATATTTTTCTGATTTTAGATTTTTACAAAAACAAATAGTTTTAAGATCATGAGCACATGAGATGAAATCTTTTGTTGGAACGCTTTCAATTGTAACTAATATTGACTTTTGGTCTCTCTTTCACTGTGTCAAATATTTATTATCAGCATTGGAACGAGACTGTCAAATCGATTTGGTTGAACTTATGAAATGGAATGATTTCCACTGGTTAATATTTTCGATTAATTTTTACAATGCGGAAATCCGTTTATTTTGCTTGTTTTTAAGATTCAACATTAAAAGATTACGAATCTCTAACTTAAAAAATTTCTAATCAACAATAAAAGCCTTTGAAGTAAACATTGTATTCATATATTCACATCGTGCGATAAATATCTTGAACTATACTAAATATATTTACTTGTGATCACGAAAAGTTAGTCAGTTATCGGAGTTTATAGTTGATCGAAGGCAAAGATTTTTGAAGTAGAACTTTTAAAATTAATAGTACAGAAAAAGATACCTTCGTATTGAGAAAGCTACATACACCATCAGAATTATATAATTTTGGAAAAGTCAAAACATGTGAAGTCTCGTGTGAAATATGGTCCTATAGTTCGTTCTATGCTTTTCTTTGTATGAGTACCACTGTGCACATTGAAAAGTTTTCAGTTACGTTAAAAACCCCATTAAAATATTAAAACATTTACTAAATTTGGTTAGCTAATATTATTTCAAATCAATTATTATTTATCGTCAAATAAAAGATTTCCAAAGGATTCGTTTTGGGCTATTTGTAGTATTAGTCCGTGTGAAATGTGACAAACTAAAAGAAAAGTTATTATAGTTAAAATTTAACAGTCGTAAGATTTTAATATTGTGTGCTTTCACGGACTTGTAATAATGATTTTTCTCGAATTAATTAATGAGTCCATTGGTGAATTTACAGGACCAATTTGTAGCAGTTCAATGCGGTAATTAGAATCAGTCGATTTCTACAAGTCGCAACTATAAGATTCAAGTATATTAAATGTAGCCAAGGAACAAAATATAAGAGACGTTATTGAAAATGAAATTTCATATTAGATCGTTGATTAATATTTAATTAGAGATTTTCTTAATTTTCAACAATTTAGCGATGTTGTCTTGAGTAATTACAAAAAGGTTTCAGTACATTTTTATTACAATAATTAAAGCAAGAAAAAGTATCATGATAGAAACTTTCTCTTGATTATATTCTTTTGTAATTAGCTTTTATTTTTTGTACATCGCCATCTTTCATTAGTTAATATTGCGCGAATTCTATTTAAATAGTAGATTTAATCGAAGTACACATATTTTATAGTTTATTATTCAAACTCTGTTTTAGCAAAATTAATATCTTGTTTTTGTACGTATCAGTGAAAAGAAAATCATCGTATACAAATTCTATTTCGTCAATTTATCAAGTGATCTTGTATGTCTTCATTCAATATGCAATGAGAACATATTCATTTGCAAAAACAAATATTACACATATAAGCGTTATCTTATGCCAGGAAAAATTGATATTTGTTCGATGATAATTCATATTTAATATACAGAGCAACGCATACCCAGGTCGGACAGTCCGACCTGGAAACGGCCGGTTCCAAGTAGTTCCGTTGATTTTGTGGAAGCAGTATTCCGGTTGAAAAATTTTCGCATTTTTTCCGGTGTTTTCCTGCAGGATATGGTGACTTTCCCGCATATTCCTTGGAGTATCCTACGGGATCTGGTGGCCGGAATGTTCGACCTGGGTAATATTATTTTTTTGGTAGAAATCAGAATAAAAATAATCATTCTATGAATCATTTTTTTTTCTCATTACAAGTCGAAGTGAATGTCCTTTAATGGCTCTTGATGGAAATTAGTAAAATCATAAAAGTAACATGAATCAGATAGGTGATGGTGATTGGAGTATCCACAAATAGCAGCTGCTATTTACTTTAATATGCGAGCTTTTATATTATGCTGCGTAGAAAATAGTGCTTACATTTGTTGTTTCTTTCGTATTAATACCGACAGTTTTATTTCTTTCCTCTCTGTTATCGTGCAAAACAACAAATATGGCTGCCGAACAAGACACTCCTGAAGTCGCTTCAATCGTAGCTCGTATTGGATCGTTGCTTGATACGCATAAAAATAAGCTTGAAATAGATTTAACTCATGAAACTATTGAATTTAGCCAACATAGTGGTAATCTTTTTACTGGCAGCAAACCACAAGTGGCTATAACTCTTGGTTTTAATGATGAAGGTCTAACAAAAGACTCAGATCTTGCACAATTTGTTGCAAATTTCAATTTTATTGCACTCGATCGACTTCCAGTGCCTGGTCTTGATGGAGTTCCATCACAATGGGAAATTTATCCTCAAACACCGATTTCATCGTTCTCTGAAGGTGTCACTCTTGAGCAGTATGATCCAAGTACACAAATATTAAAATTAGCTGTTCAAACACAATTTTTTGCAATCTATGGAAGTGTACCACAAAAACATCCAATAGCTGATGCTCGAGCTCCTAAGGGTACTTATTTACAAGTTCGTCGCGATATTCAAGGTGTTATTAAACTCAACGCAAAATTAGTTTTCAGTTCATAAATTAAAATTAGTTTGACATTCTTGATTCGTTTTATTAATGTTCTTTTTTTCATTTAATAATTATTCTTCCTTCAATAAAACAGAAAAATTAAAATTTCATATAGTTCCGATGACTACCAGAACATCAACCAGGCCGTGTTTTTGTAGGCCTGGCCGGCCCGTGACAGGCATTTGCATTTCAAGCCTGTCTGTGCCTGTCAACTAATTTACTTGACCTGGCCTGCCTGCCTGGCAAGGCCTGGCAATTTTTTTTAATGCTAATACCATTACGAGGATAGAATAGAAATATGTAATTAATGTTGAGAATGAAGAAAACCAGTTTAATTAATTTAATATGACTAGATTAAGCATTTACTTAGCGAAGTTTTCATACAAAAAATGAGGAAACATCGGATTTGCATCCGATTGTTGTGTACTGCAAAAACTGAGTCGATTTATATATTTTTTGAATAATTCTGAGAAAAAAATTTTGTTTCTGAAAAAATCCCTGTACTCCCCCTCAAGGATGGTCTGGTCAATAATGACAACTTTTTCGATAACTCAGCCATTTCTTGACAGATTGCTTTCATCGTCGAACTCGACTGAGATATTGATGAGATCATTCTGTGTACAAAATTTCATGATAATTGGATGAGGCTTTCAAAAGTTATCGTGTTAACGGTCAGACACACTGACCGAATCTAGAATGTACTCATTTTTTTTGAGCACACAAAAAGAATACATCGGAGACAGCATGGTATAACCTCAAGAAAAAAAGTTTCGTTTTTGTTCAAGAATGTTTTGAATGAATTTCACAAAGAGAATATCATTTAAAAATTGAGGATCCAAAGAAGAACGACGTTCTGTTACAGCTAGTCCAGCAGATAAATGAAAACACAACAAGCGAATGGGGAAAGAAAACGAACTATGCAATTTGAACTGAACATTAGTCATCATTTGGATCAATCACAAATGAACACAGAACATTATTCTATGCTTCATCTGATTATTAGCGCCACATTCAATTAAAAAAGTTTATATCAAAAATAAAATTATACATAAAAAGAATAGAGACGACAGACCAGGCGGTCTGGTGTTTTTAAGCTGCCTGCCTACCTGTGACAGGCCAAGCCTCAAGATCATGGCCTGTGCCTATCACAGGTAGGCAGGCAGGCCTAGTGACCTGGTTGATGCTCTGATGACTACATAAATAAGTCACCGACTTTTATCAATGCTTCTATTTTCAAATAACATAAAGAAAGCTAATTATTATTAGATTTCCCCAGGTCGATCATCCTGAGTCGTAAACGGCCGTATACCTATCATTCGCGGTGAAAACCGGCGATCGTATTTTGTAGTCGTTTACTGTTGTCGTAAACAAAGTGTTACGATGAAATACGGTCGTCGTAAACGAGGACCGTGAAAAATCTCTGTAAACGGCCATCGTAACTAAACGCTAACTGTAAACGACTGTCGGACATCACAGTAAACGGCCGAAGCCGATAATCGTAAATGATCCAGAAAACGATTGCCGTTTTTTTTATCGTATACTTTTGTAAACGGTCGCTTACGATGGCTAGCTGTTCGCTTAAAGTATAGTAGCATTTTTTAGATTATAGTTTACTCAATCTATCTCAGTGAGAAGTATTAAGTGACCGTTTCGTAGGTGAGGTTAGCATCGCATTCGAGTAAAACCTACCGATACTCGGTTGCGTGGATATTGCAACGTCCTTACTCACAGTATTAGAAGAAATTCATATACTCTATCGAATACTATATTTGGATTAGCTAGATCTTGAATCATTATCCTGCAAATCCAAAAAATAGCGAAAACTCCCATTAAATCCGTGGAATCCTATTAGTAAAATCTGACCATATTTATTTCAAGCAGTATTCCAACTCTTGTACCTTTGTTCCAAGTGGAACTCGATGAACTCCATCCAGTGGAGTTCACATATTTTTCGTAGCTTGAAATTAGACGTCAGCGCTGATAAGATAATACTGAAGAAATTTCAGAAGATCCTACTTTGAGCTATGAAAACTCTGCCGAAATTGTTGAATAGATCTACTCAAGTTGTGTTTCGATCACGAGTGGAGTACTCAGAACAACGACTTTGGCGAGTATGGTGCTAGAATTCCATAGGAAAAAACATTATTTTGAGATTTTCGGGGCCGTTCTCAGCAAGATGAAAAATCTGATTTTACAAAACAAATTCTAGGATTTTTTGGATTTTTCGAAAATTCAGGAGAACGCGTCGACATCAACTTAATCGAAATATACCATTCGATAGAGCATAAGAAATTCTACTAGAAACATTGGTAGGTGTGTTGGAACAATAGTTCAAAAGAATACGCACTGAAAAAAAAAGGTTCCAAGCGGAACCTTTTATTGCCAAAAATGGTTTCGTGCGTGCTACGGAACTTAAAAGAGGTTTCGAGATTTGCAACGCAATCTAAACCTTTTGAAGGTTTCGTAGACTTTCATCGAAACCTTAAAAACGCATCCTAGACCCTTTATAAGTCTTTTGAAAGCATATTAGGTCCATACGAAACCTCTAAGAAGATTTCGATTTCGTTGCAAATTAAGTTTCGCGTGGAACCCTTTTTTTTGAGTGCGGGCAGGTTTTACTCGAATACGATGCTAACTTTACGAACGTGTGAAAATCACGATTATTTTCCATGAATAGTAGCAAAATCTTATATTCCTTGAATTATCGTTTTTCAAAAAATAATCGAGTTAGTATGAATTTTGAACATAGCACTAACTGAAATCCGGTTTCAAATCAGAAATCAAAACAATCAATTCCAACAAGAGAAAATTGAATAGATTTTAGTGAAAGAAAAATCCTATTAGTAGGATTCAAGCTTTAAAAAATCTAACAATCTCACTAAAGCCGCCATCAGAAATTTAACTAGTTTTGATATCAATTTTATTTTCCATCAGACAGAAATACTTTAATTTTCATCACTTTTGATGCCAACAAAATCATTTAAATGAGATTTTTTCTCAGTTTTAAACATGGGGAATAGACAGATAGAACATCAAAATAAAGCATAAGACATCCAGAAGTCTCTATTGTGCAGAAAACTCCGAAATTTGGTGGTGAATTTCTGAAATACCCCGGATCATTCTCATAAATCACGACCTATAGAGCTTACTGTGGATATAATTCATTCCAACTTACATGACGGCAACGTTCGTCAATCGTTTTATCGTGAAGAGTCTCACTATTTGTACAAGCCTGTCACGTCAGGCATATCCTCTACTTGAAACTAAAATAGTTAAGATGAAAACAATCATAGAAACATCAAGAAATACTGTCTGAACTGACAAATCATTGTCAATGTTACAGTGCAAAAGTGCTGCAAGGTCTGGATACTATATTGAACAGCGATAAAACTTTCTAAATACTAACACAATAACACTGAAATTTATTCAGAAATCAAAACTCTATACTTCACAATAATCTGAGAGCTCCTTTATTATTTCTATGATTTCTGCTTGTGATTTCTGACACATTTGCAGGATTCTTCAGTCTTTCATCTTTTATCAAAAAGAAGTATCATGAGTCGTCTGTTTCCATCCTTAACAGAGCATCTGCAGAAAAGCAAATCAGTTACGGAACACTTTCACTGGAAAAACCCAAAAGCAGGATCTCCCCATCTAAAACGTTATGGGTAAGGACAGAAAGACATGACGTGCCTCGCCTTTTAAGTAAATACTCGTAAGTTCACAAAATCATTTATCAACCTGCCCAACTCTTCAGATTCATTTACACCAAGCTACTTCTCCTTCATTCCAGTGTCGCGTTGGCTCTATAGTTCGCCAAAGCCGGCTTCCACCAAAAACAAGACTTTGGGGAAAACTGATTTCAGCATCAAATCAGAAACTGTATCGCCTGAATGTACAACATAGAAGAATTCCTATACGTCTTCACTACAAATAGCAGTATAGATAGATTCCCTATAATCTCTAGAAGCCTTATATCTCGCAGAGTATGAAATTCCACTTGACCTTTCTCACTAAATCGAACAAAAACATCGTTTTCCCTTGCAACCGAGTTAAACTTTGAAGCTCATCCATACTGAACATATTCCTATATCGAATTCGAGTTGAACGCTACTGAATAAATCCACTAAAATAAGAAAAAAACAATCTTTACAGGTGTAACGACAAATAAGACTCTGTTGAGTTTATATCGCAATGACAAACTGGATAGGCATGGAGTAGCTTAACGCCACTCACGGCAATGATGTTTATTCGGTTCTTCACATATCCAGAGTGTAACAAGTTCATACATAACACACGTATATATAGGAGAGAGACAGAAGAGAGATATATATTATAAGAATGGAAAGAGAACAGAAGGAAGAGGAAAGAGAATCATCGAAGCGTGCCATCAATATCGGCACAACAGATACATCTACGATCGGAACAATCCAATTACGTAACAAACATAAAGGAGATTTCACTGGTTCGTCTAAATTTTTCACTCCTTTCCATGCATGCTATCACTTTTATAACCCTATATAAGATTTTTGGTCTTTTTTAACATCATCTTCACTAATCCTACCTTCAAAAGGTGATTTTTGCAGGATTTCTTTGATGCTTTTTGTATTTTTCAGATTTCTCATGTTCCTTCTTGCAAGATGGAGTAGAAATCACCCAATATGGTTCTCGTCATGCTGGCTATCAAATGCTGCTTTCCGCACTTCTCTGCGATGCTTCCTTCGAAAGGTGATTTTTGCTGGATTTGTTTATGCTTTTTGTATTTTTCAGATTTCTCATGATCCCTGTTGAAGGATGGATCAGAAATCAACCAATATGGTTCTGTTGATGCTCGCTATCAAATGCTGCTGTCCGCGATTCTCTGCGATGCTTCCTTCAAAAAGTGATTTTTGCAGGATTTATTTGATGCTTTTTGTATTTTTCAGATTTCTCTTGAACCCTGCTGGAGGATGCGCGGAAAATCATATGGAATTAGCTTCGGATGCTTTCGAGATATTTAGGGTATAGAGGT